GCACTTTACAGATATTACCATAGTTAATCTTCACCCTAGGGTACTATTGTTAACCCCATTTTACAGATGAAGAGACAGAAATACATAGAGATGACAAGGCCAGTAGGTGATTGAGCTGGGATGTGAACCCATCTGGCTCCACCGCTGCCCTTTCTAGTAATCTTTTTTTTTTAATTAATTAATTTATTAATTTATTTATTTTTTTGAGACGGAGTCTCCCTCTGTCGCCCAGGCTGGAGTGCAGTGGCGCGATCTCCACTCACTGCAAGCTCCCCCTCCTGGCGATCTCCGCTCACTGCAAGCTCTGCCTCCCGGGTTCACGCCATTCTCCTGCCTCCGCTTCCCAAGTAGCTGGGACTACAGGCGCCCACCACTGCGCCCAGCTAAGTTTTGTATTTTTAGTGGAGACAGGATTTCACTGTGTTAGCCAGGATGGTCTTGATCTCCTGACCTCGTGATCCGCCCGCCTTGGCCTCCCAAAGTGCTGGGATTACAGGCATAAGCCACCACACCCGGCCCCTCTTCTAGTAATCTTGAACAAGAGTCTGGCACAGGGCTGGGGCCTGGGAATGGCCAGAGGAACAGAAGTGACACACTGCCTGTGGCTAAGGTTCCCTGCGCTGGAGGGCTCTCCCAAGAAAGGACTAGGAAATTATAAAGGGGACGTAAATAAAGAACTATATCTAAGATTACTTTTGTCAATAACAGCAACAATCACGATGTTCTTGGCCAACACCCCATGCAGGATAATATCTTCTTTCATGTAAGAGAGATTTGAGACACTCTCAAATACAGAAGTCTTATCACAGTTAGAGCTTCCTCTGGAAAGCTTCCCGGACTCTCTAATCCTTCCTCAAAGATTTATTTATTAATGTATTTACTTACTTAAATAGGGAAGAAAACCTCACTTAGATGCTAACCTAGCTTCAATACCTTCTAGCTTGGCATGTCCAGCCACTGTCAATGTTCCTTTTGCAAAGGGAGAAGGAGTTGCTGGAGGTAACTGGGAAGGTAGAAGGAGAGGAAGAGGAGTGTGGGGCACAGGCTGGACTGAGGGGCAAAGGGAGGCCAATGAGCCCAGGAAGGGCTGTCCAAAGCCAAAGGGCTTCCCGCGCTGTTTTGACAAGACTACACCTGATTCCTCTGAGATGTTCAACCACAACATTGGAAACTACACTATTGATATAAGTAATGCTTGAGAAGTAAAAAGAGATTGCGGTTGAATTCTACCTCTAAGATCCCCAGCTCTAGTAGTCTATGAAGATACCATCTGTCTTAATCCTTTCCTAGAGGAAAAAGTGTCAAGAGTCAGGGAACTCTTGGAAGAGCCATGCCTGGCCGGATTCTGGGCTTGCCCCAAACCAGAGTCAGCTGGGCAAGAACCACCGGGGGCCCAGCTAGCAGCTCAGCCCCAGGGGAATTTCTAGGGGACAGAGGACATCCTAACCAAAACCAGAGCATCTTCTGCCCCTTCCCAGGCCTCGTGGGCAGGGTCACCTGGGACAGCGCCCTTCGGAATGGGGTTAGGCCATTCCTGCCCCTCTCTTGGCAGGTTGTGGGTTTAGGAGGGCTTAGGGAGGGCCTTTGCCCAAGTGCTGGCTGGAGAGCTGCAGGCCATGGGGTGGCCAGGATGGCCACATTTCCTAGGCTCAAGGTGGGGAGCTGGTGTTAGGGCTTAGCCCTGATGGGTGATGGGATGATGCCAGGGGCACCTACTTGGAACAGCAGCTGAGGTTTGGGGCTTAGGCCCCCCGTGGCCCCTGGGCTGTTATAGGACCTTCCCTCCTCTTGATCAGTCCCCAGGAAAAGGTGCTTCTGAGTGGCTCAGCCGTGTCCCCGCTTGATGCCTGACCCCGAGGGAGGCTCCTCCAAGGATCTATGGCACAGGGACAACAGAACCCTTTCAGGGCAGGCGGGCGTGCATCCCAGTCCTCCCTGGCCTCCTTGCAGCTCCTCCCCAAGCCCAAGCTGGCCAAGCCCCTCCCAGCTCCAATGTGCTTGTCAGTATCTCCCACAAGGCCTGCCTTGGGGAGCTCCAATGGGGTGAGGGGTACTCCGGAAGCATCCACGATCCCCAGCCTGCCCCAGTTCCAAATCCAGGCCAGCCAGTGCCCACGCCTGGGTGGGTGAGCTGGGGGCTACCATTTAACCCAGCAGAGCATGAGCTGTGAGGAGGGGGCCATGGGGAGAGCACTGCACTGGGAGCCCAGGCACCAGCTGTCACTTGCCCTGCTAAGCTGGAGCACCCCATTTTCCCTTGCTGGTGTGGGGGTGTTCAGCCTAGATGCACAGACAACGCCAGCAGGGCTGAGCTGGGGGAGGTCAAAGGGGTCATAGACATCACCCACTTCAGAATCATCTGCGGGAAGAGGGGGAGGCCTTGCTAAAACGCAGGTGGAAGGGCCCTACCTTGACCCACTGAACCTGAATCTCCAGGAAGGTGTTTGGGAACCTACATTTTAACAAGTTCCCCACATGGGTACCCATGAAGTAAGACTCATGGAAAAGTGGACGACACACTGGGAAAGCGCAGACAAGTCCAAGGATGATTTTATAATCCACATAAAGGGATCATCGGTCGTTTCCTGAAAGCAGCATCACAGGAGCCTGGTCTCTGCAGTCAGGCTAGCCAGGGAGCCCCAGCAGCTTGCTAAACCCTCTCTAGCTCTCATTTTCCTCACGGACAAAATAAAGATTGGCGGTGATCTCTTGGGCCTGCCCACATCTGAAATTGTGAATGCAAGAAGAGGTGAACCACTGAGAAACGAATTTAAAAACAAAGCTCAGGGTGAGACATTTTAACTAGTATTCTCCCCCTTATAATTTGTTTCTTCTTAAATATTCTTGTTTTGTTTTGTTTGAGATGGGGTCTCACTCTGTTGCCCAGGCTGGTCTTCAATGCCTGGGCTCAAATGGTCCTCCTGCCTCCTCCTCCTAGATAGTTAGGATTACAGGCACATGCCACCATGCCCGGCTTTAAGTATGCTCTTTAAATTCTGAAAATAACATGCTTAGGGGAAAAAAATCAAACCATTCAAAATAATACACAATGAAAACGAAATCTAGGCTGGGTATGGTGGCTCACACCTGTAATCCTAGCACTTTGGGAGGCCAGGGTGGGAGGTTCACTTGAGCCTACAAGTTAGAGACCAGCCTCGGAAACACGGCAAAAACCCAGTCCTACAAAAAGTACAAAAAAAAAAAAAACCAAATTAGCTGGGTGTAGTGATGTCCGCCTGCAGTCCCAGCTACTCGGGAAGCTGAGGTGGGAGGATTGCTTAAACCCAGCAGGTTGAGGCTGCAGTGTCATGATAGCACCACTGCACTCCAGCATGTGTGACAGAGCAAGACCCTGTCTCCAAAAAAAAAAAAAAAAAAAAAAAAGAAAGAAAGAAAGAAAGAAAGAAAAAAGAAACATGGCATGGAGGGATGTAGGGACATCTCAGACCTATATCCCACTTTCCAACATAAATATCGTCATTTCCTAAATTTTCCTGAGAAGTTTTTCCAGAAATATGAACATACATACACACACACACACACACACACACACATCTATCTATGCCTGCATCTTTATTTTAAACCCAACCAGGAACATATTCCCTGTACTTACATTTGCTTTGCTAATTAACATACATCACACATCTCTGCATACCACACAGACAGATTCCTCCATTCTTTTAATAGCTCATAGTGTTCCACTGAACCAATGCACTACAATTTCTGTGAATCTGTCCTTGTTGATTGATATTTAGGTTATTTCTACATTTTTTGCTGCACAAGCAAAGCTGTAATGAACATCTTTGTTTTTTCTTGTTGGTTTGTTTTGAGACAGCGTCATACTCTGTCATGAATATCTTTGTTTTTTCTTGTTTGTTTGTTTTGAGACAGCGTCATACTCTGTTGCCCAGGCTGGAGTGCAGTGGTACAACCCCAGCTCACTGCAGCCTCAACTTCCTGGGCTCAAGCGATCCTTCCACCTCCGCCTCTCAAGTAGCTGGAACCACAGGCACCCACCGGCTAATTTTTTTTTTTTTGGATGGAGTTTCACTCTTGTTGCTCAGGTTGGAGTGCAATGGCACGATCTCAGCTCACTGCCACTTCTGCCTCCAGGTTCAAGCGATTCTCCTGCCTCAGCTTCCCAAGTAGCTGGGATTACAGGCATGTGCCACCAAGCCCGGCTAATTTTGGATTTTTAGTAGAGATGGGGTTTCTCCATGTTGGTCAGGCTGCTCTAGAACTCCCGACCTCAGGTGATCCGCTCGCCTCGACCTCCCAAAGTGCTGGGATTACAGGCGTGAGCCACCGCACCCGGCCTAAATTTTTTTTTTTTTAATTTTTGTAGAGATGAAGTCTCACTTTGTTGCCTAGGCTGGTCTTAAACTCCTGGGCTCAGGTGATCCGCCTGCCTCAGCCTCCCAAAGTGCTGGGATTACAGCCATAAGCCATCTCGCCCAGCCTACATCTTTGACTCTATATCTTTGTGCACATATATGATGCCAGCTAGAGGATATCCCTGGGTCAAAACTTACGTGAACCTAACATTCTGACAGATATTGCCAAATTGTCCTCCAATGAGGGTGAACCAGTTTTCTCTGCCCCAGCAACTCATGAGTGCCTGTTTTTCTCCACCCTCACACAGTGTGCATGATCAGATTGTTGGATTTTTACAGTGAGTTTAAAAATGGTATCTTGTTTCAATTTGTAATTCAGTTGTCAAAAAAGACAGACATGTTTTCATGTTTATTGACTGATCGGCCTTTGCACTTGTTTTTCTGTGACTTGTCTGCATCCATCCTTTCTAATTTCTTATTGATTTTTAAAGAAGTTTTTCTAAATTAAGGCAACTGACTTCTTGTCATGTGTACTGCAAATTGTCATTCATCTCTTTTTGACTTTATTTATGGCATCCTTGGGACTTGCTTAAAAAGCCTTTCCCATTTGAGAATCATGAAAGTATTTGCCCATATTTTCCACTTGTATTCTTGAAGGTTTCTTTCTTTTTTTTTTAAGTTCAGCTTTTTATTGAACATGTTATAAAAGAGATTTAGTCAAAAAGACCAAAGCCCATGTCATCATCAGAGTCCTCGGATTCTTCTTTCTTTGCTTCCACTTTCTTCTCCTCAGCTGGAGCAGCAGCAGTGGAGGGGGCAGGACCTCCTGCCGGTGCAGCACCAGCTGCTGGAGCAGGTCCACCAGCCCCTACATTGCAGATGAGGCTCCCAATGTTGACATTGGCCAGGGCCTTTGCAAATAAGCCAGGCCTAAAAGGTTCAACATTTACACCAGCTGCTTTAATGAGGGCCTTGATCTTATACTCCGTGACAGACACCTCATCGTCATGCAGAATGAGGGCCAAGTAGATGCAGGCGAGCTCGGAAGACGGAGGCCATAGCGCAGGCAAGTGTGGGGCTGGCGCTGCCGGACGCGGTGCTAGTCGCCGGATGAAGTGAGGGCCTCATCCCAACGCGGCCTTAACTTCCTCGGAAGGACGGAGCACCTTCGCGGCAGCTGAGGAAAGGGACTTGAAGGTTTCTTTCTCCTTTTCTTCTTCTTTTCCTTCCTCCTGTTGTTGTTGTTGTTGTTGTTCCTCCTCCTCGTCCTCCTCTTCCTCTTCCTCTTCTTCCTCCTCTTCCTCTTCTTCTTCCTCCTCCTTCCTCTTTGTCTTATTCTTTTTTGAGGCAGGGCCTCACTCTGTTGCCCAGGCTAGAGTACTTATGTGACACAATCATAGCTCACTGCAGCCTTGAACTCTTGGACTCCAGTGATTCTCCTGCCTCAGCCTCCCAAGTAGCTGCGACTGCAGGCACGCACCACCACACCTGGCTTTCTTCTTTCTTTTTGAAATATATTTGTCACCTCCAGAATTTATTTTGATGCAGGGATTGTGGTAGGGCTCAACTTTATTATTTTTTTCAAGGGGCTACACAGTTGTCCCAAAGTCATATTTGAATAATCCATTTCCTGCTCCCCTACCTAAAAATCCTCCCTCTAAATTCAAAGTTCCAATTTGACTATGTAGGAGGATGGATACAAAGAGCATAAACTCAGAGTCGAGTGCTTGGTTCAAATTTCCACTCTACTGGACCTGGGATAAGCTGCCTACCCTTTCTGTGCCTCAGGTTCCTCATCTAAAAATGGAGATAACAATAATGCCATCTGCATGGAGTTATTGTGAGGATTAAATGAGTTATTACAGGTAAGGGGTGTAGAAAGACACAGCTAATATATGCTGCCCACAAGAGGTTCAACCTTAGATGTAAAGGCTCACATAAGTGGAAAGTGAAAGGATGGAAAAAGTCATTCCATGCAAATGGTAACCAAAAGAGAGCAAGGATGGCAGTATTTATATCAGTCAAAAGCTGCCACAAAAGACAAAGGAGGCTATTACATAATGATAAAGGGTCAATTTACCAGGAAGATATAACAATTGCAAATACATATGCACCTAACAGCAGAGCACCCAAATATATGAAGCAATATTGACAAAACTGAAGGGAGAAATAGACAACACTGCAATAATAATTGGAGATTTCAGTACTCCTTTCAATAATGGATAGAACAACCAGACAGAAGATCAATAAGAAAATGGAGAACTAGGCAGGACATGGTGGCTCACACCTGTAATCCCAGCACTTTGGGAGGCTGAGGCAGGTGGATCACCTGAGGTCGGGAGTTCAAGACCAGCCTGACCAACATGGAGAAACCCCATCTCTACTAAAAATACAAAGTTAGCCAGGCTTGGTGGTGCATGCCTGTAATCCCAGCTACTCGGGAGGCTGAGGCAGGAGAATCGCTTGAACCTGAGAGGTGGAGGTTGCGGTAAGCTGAGATCGTGCCATTGCACTCCAGTCTGGGAAATAAGAGTGAAACTCAAAGAAAGAAAGAAAGAAAGAGAGAGGGAGGGAGGGAGGGAGGGATGGAGGGGAAAGGAAAGAAGGAAGGAAGGAAGGAAGGAAGGAAGGAAGGAAGGAAGGAAGGAAGGAAGGAAGGAGGGAGGAAGGGAGAGAGAAGATACAGGGGCTTCGCTTGGCCTATAGGCCAGAGTTGGATAAGAGGACACTTGCCAGCTCCTCCAAACATAGCAAAATAGCCCTCTCTTTCTCAACTTCAAAACCATCCCTAAATAAAAACAAGACAATACACTTAGGAGATTTCCTGTGGTGTTTGCTGCTTTATTCTTCTTGCATATTCGGTATGCACTTTGTTTATCAATCTGGTGTTCCATCATTTGACAAATATCTCACTACTGAAGGAAGGAAGGAAGGAAGGAAGGAAGGAAGGAAGGAAGGAAGGAAGGAAGGAAGGAAGGAAGGAAGGGAGAGAAAAGAAAATGGAGAACTTCAACAACACTATAGACGAATTGGACCTAAGAGACATATGCAAAAAACTCCTCCAAACAGCAGCAGAATACACATTATCTCAAGCACATACGGAACATTCTCCAGGACAGATCACACCTTAGGCTACAGGTAAAGAACAGGACAGTGGCCACACAGGGGAACTACTATATGGTGGTGTTTACTATTATTATTATTGCATATTAAGTGTGCTTTGTTTATCAATCTGTGAAGCAGTTCCATCATTTGACAAATATCTACTACTATGTGTCAGGCCCTATTCCCAGTGCCAGGGAATCAAGAATAAAGTAGTCCTAAGAGCTGCTCCTGCCACCTCTGGTTAGACTTAGTACTGGTTATTTTAGCACTTTTACTGATATTTTAAATTTCTTCCATTATATTTAAAAAGTTAAAGTCTGTTTATATACAGACAAGCTATATATTTTTCTTTCTAATAGTTATTACTAATCATGTTGGTATATTCTTTTATTATTTCTAATTTTTTTTCAGTTGACAATCTTGTTCCTTTTTCTCCAGGTCATCAATCTTATCGTCTACAATTTTGATAAATTTAGCACTTTTATAACTTATATTTTCAAAATTTGTGTTGGCTTGTGCTTCTAGAGTAGTATTAAAGAACTACAGTCATGGGGGTCATTCTTTCCTTGTGTGTTTATGTCTGAATACACACACACACACACACACAAGCACACACAGGCATACACAAAATCATGTTAAGCAATATCCATCTATTCCTATGACATAGGAGTTAACATCAGAGACATGTTGAATTTTATCGAATGCATTTTAGACATTTTTAGCACTTATGAAGTTGCTTGTATGATTTTTTATTTCTTTTGAGCTATTAGTTTGTTCAATTACATTAACAGTTTTTCTACTATGGAATCTGTATTTCTGGAATATAGCCCCACTTGCTTGCGGTATGTTCATTTTTGTAACATAATGCTGTGTGTGTCCATTTGTTGCTATTTATGAATTTTGCACCACTATTCATAAGATTGTTTAGTCATTTTTCTCTTTTTGTGCTGTTTTTGACAAGATTTGGTATCCATGCTGTTCGTACTTCATAGAATAATTTAGAATCTCTCCTTCTCTGTGATTTGGTGTAGTTGGTGCAGTTTAAATAACATTGGCATTATCTGTGCCTTGGAGATTTGATAGAAACTAGAAGTAATCTGAACCTTAATTTTCTTGGAGGAGAATTTTATGAAAACTCAGTTTCTTCAGTGATTATTGGTCTGTTGGGATTTTCTACCTCTCCTGATGTCAAAATGATGATTTACATTTTCCCAGAAAATCATCAGTTCCAGTTGGTTTTCAAGTGGATTTACATATGGCCAAACACAGTACCAATAATGATGATAATAATAATAATAATAATTCTTTCTATTTTCTCTGTATCAGTGACTATTTCCCCATTTTAATGTTCAATTTTGTATATTTGCCTCAATCCTCTCCTAAACCCCATTAGATTATCTCATCTCTAAAAAACCATAAAGTGACACGTGATTTTTCCCCCAGGACTCTATTTACTATGTACACAACTCAGAAATAGAACAGCTGAAATCAGAGAAGGGGATGAGAGGGCAGCCGAGGCACAGCTTGATACAAAGTCAGTCAACAAACATTTCAGACGTGCAAAGAGCCGGCACAGGTATTCCCTGGCTTTAAGCACCCACGGCTGCTTTTCCCAACTCCCCCACCCCAGTGAAACCTGCCAGTTCCCCAAGTCCTTCACATCCAGCTATCACCTCCTCTTGGACCCTTTCCTGACTCCCCAGGGAGATGTCGGCACCTTTCCATAGACATCTCAGATTACTTTTCTTCAACTTCGAACAATTCATTTAAACCAATTGAATTAACAAATGTAAACATTCTGTCATTTTTGCTTCAGCTATTCTTTGTTAAATGAAGTGTTACTGACAGGTTAGAAGCCCTTCCTTTTCCTCTTTCAGTCTCAGCTCCTACTCTCTCCAAAGCACTACAAGCATCAGCTTGGTAGGCATTGCAAGAGAAATTAGTAAATCCATAAATCATAGCTAGTACTGTTTTGTGATTTTTATGAAAATTAAATTTTCAGCCAGGAACAGTGGCTCACACCTGTAATCCCAGCATGTTTGGAGGCCCACATGGGTGGATCACTTGAGCCCAGGAATTTGAGACCAGGCTGGGAAACGTAGCAAAAACCCATCTCTACAAAAATACAAAAAAAAAAAAAAAAAGTTAGCCGGGTGTGGTGGTGTGCACCTATAGTCCCAGCTACTCGGGAGGCTGAGGTGGAAGGATCGCTTGAGCCTAAGAGGTGGAGGCAGCAATGAGTCAAGATCGCACCACTCCACTCTGGGCAACAGAGTAAGACCCTGTCTCAAAAAAAAAAAAAGAAAGAAAGAAAATTAAAGTTTCACTAATGGTATTATTTTGAAATTTCCTTTTTTTGCAACACTGTTTTTGAAATTTATTCATGTTAATACACAATATATCCATATGTGTATGCACATATATATCAGCTTTGCTAAGGTATAATTTATACAAAATAAAATTCCCCAATTACACATAGTTTAACTGCTGCATAGTATCACAGTTTTTTTTTGTTTTGTTTTGTTTTTTTGAGATGGAGTCGCGCTCTGTCTCCCAGGCTGGAGTGCAGTGGCCGGATCTCAGCTCACTGCAAGCTCCGCCTTCCGGGTTTACGCCATTCTCCTGCCTCAGCCTCCCGAGTAGCTGGGACTACAGGCACCTGCCACCTGGCCCGGCTAGTTTTTTGTATTTTTTAGTAGAGACGGGGTTTCACTGTGTTAGCCAGGATGGTCTCGATCTCCTGACCTCGTGATCCGCCCGTCTCGGCCTCCCAAGGTGCTGGGATTACAGGCTTGAGCCACCGCGCCCTGCCACAGTATCACAGTTTTATTCATTATTCTATTATTGCAGATATTGAGGTTGAGGTCTCTCTTTTTTTTTTCTGTTTGGTTGCCCATGCTGTAGTGCAGTGGCGTGATCATGGCTCACTGAAACCTCAAACTCCTGGGCTCAAGCAATCCTTCCACCTCAGCCTCCCAAGTAGCTGGGTCTACAGGTATACACCACCCCACCTGGCTA